GGCAGCCCAGCTCCAGGTCGAGCTGTTGTTCAGCATCTTAGCTGTGGAGGGCAGTGTCACTGGCCCTCATATGTGGGATCCGAACCGGGGCTCTCTGGCGTCCCAAGCCAGCTCTTAACCAACGCACCACTTGGCCGGCCCCACAAATTATTTTTTAAAAGTTCTAGATTTACAAAAAAATTAAGATAGTACAGCGTTCCCATATAACCCACATCCAGTTTTCACTATTATATTAGTACACTATATTTGCTACCATTAATGAACCAGCACTGATGTATTGTTATTAACCAAATGTCTATAGTTTATTCAGATTTCCTTAGTTTTTACCTAATTTTTTTTTCTGTTCCAGGATCTCCTACATTATATCATATTACATTTGGTTCTCTTGTCTCCTTAGCTACCTCTTGGCTGTTACAGTTTCTCAGACTTTCCTTATTTTTGATGACCTTGATAGTTTTAAGGAGTACTTGTCGGGTATTTTATAGGATGCCCCTCTATTCGAATGTTTAATGTTTTTCTCATGATTGGATTAGTTTTATGGGTTTGTAGGAGGAAAACCATAAAGGTAAAATGCTATTTTCATCACATGCTATCAAGGGTACATAATAACAAGTGATTTATTACTGTTGCTATTGACCTTTCTAGGTCAGCCAAGGGAGAGTGTGTGAGCGAGACATAGGATGACCATTGCCGCATGGGTGACTTACACTTTTCTTTCTGAGGATAAACTTTATTTTCTTGTCCATGACTCACCCCCATTTTGACTTTTAAAAAGTTTTTTGTTTTGAAAGCTTGAGCCTTTCCCAGCAGTTACCCCCTTCCCTTAATTCCCCCTCCATCATCTCTAGTGTTCCTACCCACCACTCTCAGATAGGTCCTCTAAAAAAATAAGATGCTTCAATTTCTACTAACATTTTCTGAACGCCTGTTATGTACCAGGCACTCTGCTAAGCCCACACTGTGTGAAATCACTTAATAGGAAGCAGCTTGATTCATGGAAAGAACTCAGGTAGGAAGACTTGGGTTGGAACCACAGGCTAGCTAGCCCAACTAACTGCAATCTTTGGCAAGTACCTTGGCTTATCTTAGCCTTGGCTTTTTTTTTTTTTTAAAGAGTTTATTGGGGAGTTGGGGGAGGGGAACAGACAAGTTGCTGTCTTTTTGTTCTTCAGTCTAGTGGAGGACATCGGTTGCTTCACTGGCCCATGTTGGTATTATCATTGCGCTCTTCCTGGGTGAGGTAGATCGGTCGCTGGCCACTGGACAGCCACTCACGGCGGCTCTTGACAGCTCACACCGGCTGCTGGCCGCTCATGCTGGCTGCTGTCCACTCATGGTAGCTCACATTAGCCCACTGCAGCCCCACTGCAGCCCAGCTCCAGGTCAAGCTGTTTTTTTACCACCTTAGCTGTAGAGGGCAGTGTCATTGGCCCTCATGTGGGATCCGAACCGGGGTCCTGCTGCTCAGAGCTGGGGTCTCAAGCCGACTCTTCACCAACATGCCACTCTCAGTCAGCACAGTCTTGGCTTCTTAAATGGAGATAATATTTGTCTCACAAGATAGTGTGAGGAATAAAAAACTTTCTCTTAATCCTCATGTTCATTTCGCTTCCCCCAAAAAAATCCCTATGGCTATATTTTTTAATGCTAACATTTATTTTTATAAAACACAATCTTTTTTTTTTTAATCATTTAGGACTTTGGAAGACAATAGTCTTACTTAAAAAAAAAGTCCCTTTAGGACCCTACTTGTAAAGAGGTTTCAATTACAAGTTTCCCATAACAAAAAGATCGTGATAAAAAGAAAAGGAAAACAGAACTTCACAGTTTCGTTGGAAATACCAAGATTGGACAAGGAGGTCTCGGCTATTCTGATTTTGTATTGGCTAAACTTAGCATCAATCACATCAGTTGTAAATAAACGGGAGACGGAAGCCTGTTGTTAAGGGGTGGGATCTTCCTGTCGCCATTGCTAAGGTGAGAACTCTTTTCTAATAGGCTAAAAGCTGCTTCTCCCGCCCTTTCGCATCAGTTGCTAAGAGGCGGGATTATTGGGGCCGCAAGATACTGTTGGAAGCTCCGCCCATCCGATTGGTTGTTAGGGGGCGGGTCTTGTAATGGATAGGCTGTTGGACCTGCCTGTTCCGGATTAGTTGCTGGGGAGAGGCACGTGAGGAGGCGGTGGCGTGAGGCGACTATGGCGGGAGGAATGAAAGTGGCGGTCTCTCCGGCAGTTGGTGCCGGGCCCTGGGGCTGGGGGGCCGGGGGCGGTGGGGCAGTGTTGCTGCTCCTGGTTCAATCCTGCTTCTTGGTCTGCGGCTCAGGTACCGCCCGGGCAGCAGCTGCCAAGGGGGCGGGTGGCGAGGGGGTTATATTTAGAAAAGTGGGGAGTGTTCCCAGGCGCGGCCAGTTACTCTGCAGAGTGGGGCGGGCGTACGCGAAGGAAGAAGCCTAGTAGTCGGCGAATGGGCGTGGGCACTGATGGGTAAGGGCCTGGGGCGACCTGGTGGAGCTGCCCAGAGTGAGGAGGAGCCTGGGTCCTCTTGGCGGAGACAGGAAGGGAGGCCTGGACTGCTGCATGGCGTTGCACGGGCCTCCTCGAGTTTCCTGGTTAAAAAGGAAGGAGACCAAGAACTGTGACGAGCAGGCAGAGCTGTCAGTGGAAAGGGAGCATCCCATTCATTCCGCAAATTAGCAACACTTGAGCATAGACTCTGTTAGGACTCGGGGCACGGGTGGCTGAACGGAGAATTATAGTTCGCCGAAATGCAGTGATCTCTTATGTCTTCTGTCCTTGTAAGATTCTGGCCCCTACTGGCCCTAATAGAACGGACCTGCAGTTTTTTAATTCCCGTTTCAACAAAACAAAACAAAAAAACAGAGGAAAGATTCAAGCGCCATTCACCATCGAATAGGTTTATTTTGGAAGTTTAATTCCTCAGGCAAACGAATTTGATATTAACTGCTGGATAATTGGCTTTGGACTGGGGTGACACTTTTCCTTTTCCGCTCCAGTCCAGAAAACCTAGAGTGTTTGTAAGAACTTCCGTCTACCCCTTGTTAAATGCACAACAGAAAAATAAGTGAGGGTTCCAAACCTCCACTGGAGGGAGTTGAAACTCACAGGGTTAAGGATAATTTTATCTTGTAAACACATATTATGCTCCCTTACCTATTCCTTCGTTTGCTGCCTATCTCATGCTGTCACTTATGATTAAACTTCGCTGCAGACTTTTAAGGTTTTTTCAGGATCCATAGATCTAGTTCCAAAGTGCAGAGTCTTTCTGAAACAGAGTTTTTTGGGGGTGGGGGATGGGGAGTAGGTATCTAGGAAGGTACTTTTCTAGAAGCAGGGCCCAGAGTAACATTTGAAGGGCTATTTATGATCTGAATGAACTTGGGACAGATGTTTAACCTCTAAAATGGGGTTGTGGATTGTGGGGATGGAAGAGAAAATATATGCAAAAATGTTCCTACAGAGAGCTCAATCAGTCTCTTTAATGAAGTTTCTTTAGTGATGAGGAATAGGGACATCTTGGCTTAGAGAAGGGTATACTCCAGGGATAGTCTTTCTTCTGTGTGGCCTGATACATCATGTGGGTGGCAGCTACAAAGTAACAATCATGTAATGGAGAAGAACTTTCTAAAAGTCAGAGGTACCTAAAGACAGAATGGAGTACTTCAAAAGGCAGGGAATTCTTTCTCACTGGAAGTTTATTTTAGACTACTTGGCAAATACAATTGCTATAAAGAAGTAGAAAAAAACCCTCACAGTTTATTCTATTCAGAGGTGATCCATTTTAGCACACTTGCTTTTGGTCTTTTCCAACATGTTTTTAATTAAACAAAAATTTTATTTTTTTTTAAAGTTGACAGTACATTCATGTTCCTGTCAGCAATCCTGTTCTCTTCCCTGGAGGCCACCAGATAGTTTTCTCATTTGATTTTGTAGCATAAGCATTTTCCTATGTCATTTAAAATTCTTCATAAATATTATTTTTACTTCTATGGAAATATTTGTTTAATGTTTCTGAATTAGCCATTTGGTTTGGATATTTGATTTCTGCTGTTGGTTGAATATTTGTGGCATTTCTTTTTTTTTTAAAGATTTTATTGGGGAATTGAGGGAGGGGAACAGCGCTGGGGAATTGTGGAAGGGGAACAGACAAGTTGCTGTCCTTTTGTTCTTCAGTCTAGTTGTGGAGGATGTCGCTTCACTGGCCCAAGTTGGTATCATCATTGCGCTCTTCCCGGATGAGAAAGATCGGTCGCCGGCCTCTGGACGGCTGCTCACGGCGGCTCTTGGTAGCTCATACCGGCTGTCGGTCGCTCACGCTGATTGCCAGCCACACAGGGTAGCTTATGGCAGCTCACTGCAGCCTACACCGTCTCCGGCAACTCATGGCAGTCCAGCTCCAGGTCGAGATGTTGTTCACCATTTTAGCTGTAGAGGGCAGTGTCACCGACCCTCATGTGGAATCCGAACCCGGGCCCTGCTGCTCAGAGCCGGCGTCCCAAGCCAGCTCTTAACCAACGCGCCATTCAACCGGCCCGCGTTTCTAGTTTTTAATTGTAGATAACACTGAAGAGCTTTGTGTATAAGGTTTTTTTTTATTGCATTTAGATTTTTTAAAGGATAGATTCTCAGAAATGGATTTATTAGATCAAAAGCTAAAATATATTTAAGACCCTTAAAACATCTTGCTAAAATACTTTTCTGAAAAGTTGTGCCAGTTTACACCACTATCAGCAATATTTGCTTGTGACCCCTTGCCAGCATTGGAGATTCTAGACTAACACTTTTGCTAATTTGTGGATCTTAATGTACATTGCACTTCTTGGATTATTTGTGAGGGAGCATCTTTGAACTGTTTATTATTTAATTTTCTGTTTTGACTTGAATTTTTTTGAGTTGTGTCCTTTTTTCTTGGCATATTTATTGTGATTATTGGGATTTTTGTGTACTTTTAAAATCAATTTGTATAAACTTTTTATGTACCAAGGATATACATTTGGTTGTCAGAAAAGTCATGACATATTTTTTTATGTTTTTCAGTGCAAAAATGCATCATGACTTTCCCGACGACCCAATATTTAGAATTGATTTATTTATTACAGAACTTTAATTTGCTCCCTTTTATCTTTCTAAATAGAAAGTTTATATTTTTATGTGGTCACTTCGTTTTATTTTTTAGATTTATTTCCATTGCTTTTATGCTTAACCCTCCAAAATTGAATTGATATAATTTTATTTTATTTATTTATTTATTGGGGAATTGGGGGGATGGGAACAGTGCTGGGGAATTGGGGGAAGGGGAACAGACAAGTTGCTGTCGTTTTGTTCTTCAGTCTAGTTGTGGAGGACATTGTTTCACTGGCCCAAGTTGGCACCATCGCGCTCTTCCCGGGCGAGGCAGATCAGTCGCTGGCTTCTGGATGGCCGCTCACTGCGGCTGCTGGCCGCTCACACTGGCTGCTGTCTGCTCACACTGGCTGCTGGCTACATACGGTAGCCCATGGCAACCCACTACCACAGGGGCTGCAGCCTACACCATTGCCAGTGACTCATGGCAGCGCAGCTCCAGGTTGAGCTGTTGTTCATCATTTTAGCTGTAGAGTGTGAGCATCACTGACCCTCAATGTGGGATCTGAACCTCAGCCCTGCTGCTCAGAGCTGGTGCTCCTAAGCGAGCTCTTAACCAGCTGAGCCACTCTGCCGGCCCGATTTTACTTTTTAATCTATAATTCATGTTAGAATTTGGTGTGAGATGAGGATCTAAATAGATTTTATTTTCCAAATAACCAGTCAGTTGTCCCAGCATCCCATTGAATAATCCTTTGCTAAATCCACTGATTTAAAATGTTAATTTTTAAGGAGGCTTTTAAGTGTGAACACTGGATTACCTCCTTACAGAAATCAATAGAGGCTACTTAAGAATTAGAAGAGGTTGTTTTTCATGACTTTATAGGGTCCCTTCTGGTCCTCACATACTATGAATTTATTTTCATTACCTTCTACCTATAGATGTTAAATGATCAGTGTTGTTGATTGAGAAGCAGGTGAAAAATAAGTTTGTAATGATCGTAAGTAAATATGAAGTGATTAACCTTTGAATAGCTGCTTTATGGTAAACACAATAAGCAAGTTGTGATTCACTAAATTGCAAGAAAGCATTTTCTGAGAATAAGTAGATCTTTGGGCTCAGAAAGCATTTTCCTGAATGTTTAATTCATTCTGCTTTTTAACATGCTGGCTAACTCACTTTAGAGAGGGAAAGTTAGGTGGTGTATGTCCTTCTGGTATGGGAAAAATAAGCTTCTAACATGAGCATGTTAATAACTTGTATGTGTTTAAGGTCATTTGGTTTAGTTCTGTGTTTTGAACAATTTAAGCTATAGCTGGAGTGGCGATTGTTTCCACAGATTTTCCTTTTAGGCTGAATTGGAATATTTTACCTATCAATGAATTTTCACAGATGTGGCTGGCCGTGGTGCTGATTTGTGTAGGAGGTTGCTATTAGAAAAGTTTGTTTATTTACAGCTCTTTCCCTTGAATGGTGTGGAACTGTGGAAAAGGAAGAACTAGATTTTAAAAGATGTTGCTTTTTTTTTTTTAAAGATTTTATTGGGGAATCAGGGAAGGGGAACAGACAAATTGCTGTCCTTTTGTTCTTCAGTCTAGTTGTGGAGGACTTCACTTCACTGGCCCATGTTGCTATTATCATTGAGCTCTTCCCGGGTGAGGCAGTTGCTCGCCGGCCATTGGACGGCCGCTCATGAAAGCACACGCCAGCTGCTGGCTGCCGGCCACTCACAGTAGCTCACGGCAGCCCACTGTAGCAGGGGCTGCAGCCTATGCCGTCGCTGGTGACTCACGGCAGCCTAGCTCCAGGTTGAGCTGTTGTTCACCATAAAAGATGTTGCTTTTTATGAAATAATTTTATTTCTTTAGGAAAATGACATTGGAAAATTTTAAAGTTAGTTAAAACATGGTTGCCTTTTCTTGGCATTAAGATTTTAAAATGGCCTGTGCTATTGACACATGATTTGTATCTTGCTACCCTCTTGAAAGTAACAGCAGGCTTAAAAAGGTGTAGTGTTATATTACTTGGTGCTGTGGGTAAGAAGGGGTTAATAAGTCTAAATCTTCTTTAAAAAAAATTTGTAGGGCCTGGTGAGTGACTCAGCTGGTTAAGAGCTTACTCAAGGGTGTGAGCTCTGAGCAACAGGGCCACTGGTTCGATTCTTGGCCTGAGCTGAGCTGCCACTGAGCTGCCAACAGGTGGCAGGATGGCTCAGCTAAAAAAGAAAAAAAAATTGTAAACACAGTAGTTTTAAGCTTCATATACCCTTATTATTCTCTTATAGTCTCCAGAAGAAAATAAACTCTTGATCTATATTTGTGAATGAGTATTCTTTAAGTATATTTGTGAGACAAATGTCAACAGGATTTTGAAAAGGTTTTATTTTATGAAAAATAGGCTTGGAGGAAATCCAGCTTAGTATTGGATTAAATCCTAGTGAGAAATTGATAGGGTTTAGGACATGCTACCCCAAAATATGGTACCTTGGCATATTGAACATTTTAAGTTGAGGGAATTTGAGAAAACAGCAGAAGCAGGAAGGTCACTCTGACCTCCCCCATTTTGTTCTTCTCCCCTGAAGTAGGCCATAAAGTCCTCATGTGAGAGGTGTTCTTCCTATATCTGGAGGAAAGGAGCATCCTTATTGCCGAAGACAAAGGGACCCCAAGAAGAATCCTAACAAACAGGCCTTGTTCAGTTTCTTCCAGTTTACCACGATTACCTCATACTTCAAAAACTGCCTTGTTTCTCTAGGATCGTCCACTCATCATCAAACCCAGCATAAAAGTACATAGATCTCACATATTTGGGAGGTCCCTATTTCCTTTTGAAGGCTTTTGTGTCACGCAAAACATTGAATACATTTGTATGCTTTTCTCCTGTTAATCTGCCTTTGTCAGTTTATTCTTCAGACCCAGCCAATGAAGAGGGTCAAGGAAAACTTTTTCCTCCCATACAATATCAAGACTGAATTAAAAAGAAAAAGTTGAGATATAATTCACTTACCTAAACTCCACACTTTGAGTGGTTTTTAGTACATTCACAAGGTTGTGCAACCATCACCTTTGAATACTTCCAGAATATTTTCATCCCTCCAAAATGAGACCCCATACACCGTAGCATTCACTTCCCATTCCCTTCTCCTCCCAGCCCCTGGCAACCACTAATCTACTTTCTGTCTGTGAATTTACCTATTCTGGATATTACATATAAATGGAATCATTCAATATGTGGCCTTTTTTTTTTTTGCCTGGATGCTTTCAATCCCCATAATGTTTTCAAGGTTCATCCGTGTGTTGTATGTATCACTACTTTTATGGCTGAATAATATTCCATGGTATCACAGTACTGCATTTTGTGCATCCATCAGTTAATGGACATGTGGGTTTCCACATTTTGGTTATTATGAATATTGCTGCTATGAACATTCGTGTACAAGTTTTTGTGTGAACATTATGTTTTCAGTTCTCTTGGGTGTATACATAGGAGTGGAATTGCTGGGCCATATAATAACTGTATATTTAACTTTTTGAGGAACTGCCAAACTGCTTTCCAAAGAGGCTGCACCATTTTACATCCCCGCTGGCAATGTATGAGGGTTCTAGTTTCTCTACATCCTCACTAACACTTGGTATTGCCCTCTTTTGCTTATAGCCACCCTAGTGAGTGAATTGGTTTTTCATTGTGGTTTTGATTTGCATTTTCCTAACGACTAATGATGTTGAGCCTCTTGTCATGTGCTCATTGGCCATTTGTGTATCTTCTTTGGAGAAAATCTATTCAAATCCTTTGCCCATTTAAAAAATTGGGTTATTTCTCTATTGTTGAGATGTAGTAGTATGTTATATATTCTGGATACTAGATCCTTATCAGATATATGATTTGTAAATACTTTCTTCCATTTTGTGGGTTTTTTAACTTTTTTTTTTTTTTTTTAAGATTTCATTGGGGAATTGGGGGAGGGGAACAGACAAGTTGCTGTCCTTTTGATCTTCAGTCTAGTTGTGGAGGATGTCGCTTCACTGGCCCATGTTGGTATTATCATTGCACTCATCCCGGTGAGGCAATCGGTTGCTAGCCATTGGACGGCCGCTCACGACGGCTCATGGCAGCTCATGAAAGCACATGCCAGCTGTCGGCCAGCCCCACTGCAGCCTACGCTGCAACTGGCGACTTATGGCAGCCCAACTCCAGGTCGAGCTGTTGTTCACCATCTTAGCTGTAGAGGGCGCAGTGTCACTGGCCCTCATGTGGGATCCGAACTGGGGTCCTGCTGCTCAGAGCTGGTGTCCCAAGCCAACTCCTAACCAATGTGCCACTCCGCTGGCCCGTCTTTTCACTTTCTTAATAATGTCCTTTGAAACAAAAGTTTTAAATTTTTACGAAGTATGATTTATCTGGTTTTTTCCCCCTTTGGTTTCCATAGTTTATATAGGATGTCTGTATGTTATATATCTATTTGTGTCATAGCTAAGAAACCATTGCCTAATCCAAGGTGACGAAGATTTATACATGTGTTTTCTTCTAAGAGTTTTACGGTTTTTGTTCTTACATTTAGATTTCAGATTGACTTTAATTTCAAGATTCATCTTAGCCTCACCCTAAAACTATTTTGGATTGGTGGGCATCATTGCCTTTTTTGTGTGTGTAACTGGCTTTCTAAGGTTTGGTTGAGGTGTGTGTTTAGTTGTTTATTTAAATCTACCCATTTTTATACTAAGAACCAGAGAGATAACTATATTTTTACTTAGAATAGCACTCAATAAATTGGTAAGTACAATATAGAAAGAACTTAAGGAAGAAGTTATTTAAATGTTTTGTGGTAAAGAAGGTAGCTTGCGCAACTTGGGTAGGAAGATGCAAAGAAGTGGTCACCTTAAAACCTTAAATTAGCTGAGATTGAATACAAAATTTCTGAGGGGGAGAATCTTCTGTTGGGTAAAATCAAAGGGACTGCTTAGTATTCATTGGCTGTTCTTAAAACTTGAAATAAAACAGCTAGAAAAAAGCAACTTTGCAATCTTTTAGTGTCTACTTAAAAGTACTAGACATATATACAAAATGTTGCCAGTTTTGTTCATCCTGCTGAGGAAAGGGATAGAGAAAATCACCAGATGGGTTTACTTTAGCTATGCCTTTATAAAGGAAACAGGACCTGGGTGTGAATCTCAGTTAAGCTATTTACTGGTTGTATGACTTTGGGCAAATTCATTTTTCTTAAACATCAGTTTCCTTATTTGTGAAATAGGGATTATGAGAGTGCCTACCTCATAACACCGTTGGGATGGTTAAATGAGACAGAGAGCATACTGCCTGCCTTAATAAACACTTAATAGTAGCTTTTGTTATTCTGGGTTAGTGACTGTAATATTTAAATAATTAAATTTACCTTATTTCTTCTCTTGTTTCTCAGTCACTGATATTTTAACCCCAACTTTAAGAAAGTTGTCAGTTTGATTCTTTGTATGAAATGAGTTCTAGTTAGCTTGTTATGTTATATTTAATTCTTATTTCCTTTCTTTGCATAAAGCTGGAATTGGTGTAGACGTGGTCATGCTTCAGGAATCCCAAGTTTATAATATGAATGCTAGGCAGCAATTCTGTTATAAAAATGTGCTTATTCCAAAGTGGCATGATGTATGGACACGGATACAGGTAATAATTTGGGCAGCTTCTGTGAATATTTGTCTGTCTGTATTAGTGAGTACTTTGACGTGTTTTTTTTCTTTTCACACATAATTGTTTTTAAAAAGTATTAACAACCTTGGTAGGGTTGAGATGATCCTGAATTGTATTTTCGTCAATAAGTATGCCTGCTTTGTGTTCCTCTCTCTTTTCCTTTAAATAGCTTACAGAACTTGACCCTGAGGTGAACTAACTTCCTTCCTCCTTTTCCCAAAGAAACTGCTTCCTTCTCTTGCCTTCAATTTTACACACACACACACACGCACACACGCATACACGCACGCACACACACACGCGCGCGCGCGCACACACACACACACACACACACACACACACACACACTCACACCTCCCTGTATACACCTCTCTCTTTTTTAAAGGCCTTATGCTTTCTTTGGCCTGGAAACTGTGTGTGCCAGTCAGGATGTAAACTCTTTTGCCTTGCTGCTCCTATTTTGATTCTACACAAGATGTTTCATAACCCCCCCGAATTTCCCCTTGATGGAATGACTTCGGTCTCATTTGTTTCATAACACTGTTAAGCCACCTGGCAAGCAAGAGTGTCTGGCTATTATAATGATTGAACAAAATGAGTCCTTTTGGAAGTATTGTTGCTGCTATAAGCAAAGTTACTGATAAGGGCATTTGTTGTTCACATCAAAAACATAAGGGTGGGCTTGTGGGGTTTTTTAATTCTCTTTTTTTTATTGTCTGATATAAAGATCATATTCCATCTGGGGCAAATTATAACCAACATTTACCTGTAATCAGTGATTTTGTGACAAAGGGTTGAATTCCTCAGCCTGTCATTATAGGGAACATTTTTGGGGCTGTTTATGCCTGGTAATTTTCTTAATATTCTAGATCCTTGCTTTATATGATCTCTCACAAATAGCTGTATTGATAACCCTTTCAGCTTGGAAGTCCCCTTCCCACCCCATCTATGTTCTGGCCTAATAGTAGGTTCAGATCACGTTAACAACAAGACCTTCTAGCAGCTGCCTCTGTGTACCATGTGCAATGTTTTTTGCCCAATTATGTTTTAGCTGCTGCATCTCTATTTTATATAAGGCTGGTGGAAAACTAGTGCCATTTCTGATTTAGATATTTACTCTAAAGTTATTTTTTTAAAATGGTGTTTGTGAAAAATTTTAATTCCTACTTCCTTTTTTCTCCTCCTCATTTTATTTATGTTACAGATCCGGATAAATAGTTCCAAATTGGTACGAGTCACCCAGGTGGAGAATGAAGAGAAACTGAAGGAGCTAGAACAGTTTAGTATCTGGAACTTTTTTTCCTCCTTTTTAAAAGAGAAATTGAATGACACCTATGTTAATGTGGGTCTCTACAGCACAAAAACCTGCCTCAAAGTTGAGATTATAGAGGACCACACCAAATACAGTGTCACTGTGACCCGCAGTAAGTCTTCTGTTTTTCTGATAGATTCTATAATGAGAAGGGACTGTGCTTTGGAGGGTATAATTAATGAGACAGAGAAGTCAGCTCAAGACAATTCCATTTTGGTTATGATTATATCCTGAGTACACCACTGCTCCAAACAGTTTAGAGAGACTCCACCCCACATGAAACCTTTTAGGCCTGGAATTGAGACTTCACCTTAGATCATTCTGAGTACCTCCTTATCTCGAATTGTGAAGACATACATTCCTAACACTTCCAATGGCCATGACCTGATATTCCTAGTATTCTTTAGAGTAAGAAAGGTGTATTTCTGCTTTCTGGGCACTTTTAGACAAAGATAGGTGTCCTGAAATATACGGGTCTATATTTGAAGACATGAATGGTTAAATAATAAAAACTGAAGGGCTGGCCGAGTGGCGCGATGGTTAAGAACTGGCTTGGGACGCCAGAGGGCCCCGGTTCGGATCCCACATATGAGGGCCAGTGACACTGCCCTCCAAAGCTAAGATGCTGAACAACAGCTCAACCTGGAGCTGGGCTGCCGTGAGTTGCTGGCGACGGCGTAGGCTGTAGCCCGCAGCCCCTGTGGCAGTGGGTTGCCATGGGCTACTGTGTGTAGCCAGCAGCCAGCGTGAGCGGCCAGCAGCCAGCGTGAGCGGCCAGCAGCCGCTGTGAGCGGCCATCCAGAAGCCAGCGACTGATCTGCCTCGCCTGGGAAGAGCGCAATGATGGTGCCAACTTGGGCCAGTGAAGCAACGTCCCTCCACAACTAGATTGAAGAACAAAACAACAGCAACTTGTCTGTTCCCCTTCCCCCAGTTCCCCAGCACTGTTCCCATCCCCCCAATTCCCCAATAAAAATCTTAAAAATAATAATAATAATAATAAAAACTGAAGAAAAGTAGAACTGACTATTAATACTTCACAAATAGAAAGTATTTGTGGAACCATAAATAAATATGAAGATCACTGCAGTTTAAGGCTTAATTCAGTACAACTAGGAGAAGTTTTCCCGTCTCTGATTATAAGCAAGTTTCACAGAGGAGGTAGATCATTATCCTGTGGAAGTCTCTATAACTTTAGGTTTCTCTTTTGTTACCACCCAGGTGCTTGTGTTGTTAGTAGTAGAAATGTTCCTGGGTTTTGCTACAAAACAGCTTGTGCCCGTCCGTCTTTTTTTTATTTTATTTTATTGGGGTACAGTGTGTTTTTCCCAGGACCCATAAGCTTCAAGTCAAATTGTTGTCCTTCAACCTTAGTTGTGTAGGGCGCAGCTAGCTCAGCTCCAAGTCCAGTCGCCATCGGCCGCCCTTAGGCAGCTTGTGGCTGCTTAGCTCAAGGTGCCGTGTTCAGTCGGGGGGGGGGGGGGGCACAGCCCACCATCCCATGCGTGAGTTGAACCGGCAACCTTATTGTTAAGAGCACGCGCTCTAACCAATTGAGCCATCCGGCCACCCACCAGCAGCTCAGCTGCAGCTCAGCTCAAGTTGTTGCCTGCAATCTAGTTTCGGAGGGTGCAGCTCACTGGCCCATGTGGGAATCGAACCGGCGACCCTGTTGATCAGAGTTTGCGCTCTAACCAACTGAGCCACCTGGCTGCCCCAGTTTGTGCCCTTCTAATTGTCCTAGAGTTCCATAGTTTTTTGGTTTGATGGGATTGGCCTGTTTTTTGGGTTTCCTTTTACATTTACTGACCCCTCTTGCTGTTCTGTTTGTGGACCTCCTCTAGACTCAGAGCGCTTGAATGTGAAAGCTATGGGAGTGTCTGGTATGCCACTCAGGTCTCTGCTTGGGTCCCTGGTCCTGGCTGAGATGTGTATGAGTGTAGGCTTTCCCAACACAGTGGTTGTTTAGCAAAGCGAAAGGAAGTAAGTGGTGATGTGGGGTAAGAAAAGCAGCCAGTTAGAGAACAACAGATGGCCCTGACCCAAAGTTCTGGGCAAATCTGCTGAATCCTAGCCTGTGAATGACTCAAGGCTTGAAAGACAGATTGGTAGAGACCCCTTGTGGGCAATTGCATGAAGTGCTGATGGCACAATGCCTGGCTCTGCCGAAGCCAAGCTTGGTTTCTTTTAGCCTTAGTGTAGGTCGTCAAAATAAAAATAAGATCTTTGGGAAAGTACAGGTTAGACAGAGACCTAATTGCGCTTCCTCTTTGGAAGGGTGTCCAGGCTTTGTGTGGAATTTACAACGCTGTTTAAGAGGGCTGTTTGCATTTATTTTATTAGATGACCAATAATGCCAACATTGCCTTTTAATCTATACAGTAGTTCCCCCTTATCCATGGTTTCGCTTTCTGTGGTTTCAGTTACCTGCAGTCAACCTCTGTCTGAAAATATTAAATGGAAAATTTCATAAATAAACAATTTATAAGTTTTAAATTGCACGCCATTCTGAGTAATGCGATGAAATCTCGAACTCTCCCATCTGGATGCAAATCATTCCTTTGTCCAGTGTATCCATGCTGTATACGCTGCCCTCCCATTAGTTACCTTGCAGCCATCTGGGTTATCAGATTGATTGTCACGGGTGATTGTGCTTGTGTTCAAGTAGCCCTTAGTTTACTAACAAGTAGCCCTAAAATACAAGAGTAGTGATGCTGGTAATTTGGATATGCCAAAGAGAAGCCATAAAGTGCTTCCTTTAAGTGAAAAGGTGAAAATTATTGAGTTAATAAGGAAAGAAAAAAAGTCATATGCTGAGGTTGCTAAGATAGATGGTAAGAATGAATCTTCTGTGAAATTGTGAAGAAGGAAAAAGAAATCTGCTAGTTTTGCTGTCACACCTCAAACTGCAAAAGTTACAGCTACAGTGTGTGTAAGTGCTTCGTTAAGATGAAAAAGGCATTAAATTTGTGGGTGGAAGACATGAACGGAAAATGTGTTCCAACTGATGGCAGTGTGTTGCACCAGAAAACATTGAGCCTGTATGAAGACTTTAGCAAGGGATCCTCAGAAATGAGTGATCACATTCACATAACTTTTATTACAGCATATGGTTATAATTGTATTTTATTATTGTTAATCTCTATAAATTAAACTTTATCATATATATATATGTATACATACACAGATATATAGGGTTCAGTACTATCCACATATGAGGTGTGATCAAACAATATGGTGAATGTTTAAATAAAACATTTTATTACAGTAAAAGACACACTGCCATTAATCCCCCTCAAAACACCCTCCCTTGCTTCGAACACACTTATCCCATCGTTCTTTCTACTTTCTGAAGCAGTTCTGGAAGTCCTCTTTCGTGAGTGTCTTTAGTTGCACTGTCGTGGCTGCCTTGATGTCCTAAATCATTTTGACTTTGGGGAAGAGCCAGAAATCGCACAGTGCCAGATCGATCCGGTGAATGAGGTGGATGAAGACACACCATAATGTTTTTATTTGACAGAAATTGCCATATACCAGAAGTGATTTGTGATACGGAGCGTTGTCAAGATGGAGGATGATTTATGGCACACTTTAAAACACATCTTCTCTCAACTGTAGCTCAGACCCAACTGACTGTACCGGACAAGTTGAAACTTGTCACACACTGTTATTAAGGTTTGACGCACTGCTTCCAGTATTGAATATTCCTGCCTTTCCATTGGATGGCAGTCGGCAGCAGCATTCACTGTATTTTGTGATCACAATGGAAAGGCTCCGTGTCACACATCGCTTTTGGTACGGCAATTTCTATCAAATAAAAACATTACAGTGTGACCTCATCCACCTTATTCGCTGGATTTGGCACCATGCAACTTCTGGCTCTTCCCCAAAGTCAAAATGACCATGAAAGGTAAACGTTGTGAATAGATTCAGGACACCGAGGCAGCCAAGACAGTGCAACTAAAGACACAAAAGAGGACTTCCAGAACTGCTTCAGAAAGTGGCAGGAACAACGGGATAAGTATGTTCAAAGTGAGGGGGGCTGTTTTGAGGGGAATTAATTTACTGTAATTTTTTTTTTTTTAAGATTTTTATTGGGGAATTGGGGGGATGGGAACAGTGCTGGGGAATTGGGGGAGGGGGAACAGACAAGTTGCTGTCCTTTTGTTCTTCAGTCCAGTTGTGGAGGACGTTGCTTCACTGGCCCAAGTTGGCACCATCATTGTGCTCTTCCAAGGCAAGGCAGATCAGTCGCCGGCTTCTGGACGGCCACTCACTGCGGCTACTAGCCGCTCACGCTGGCTGCTGGCTACACACAGTAGCCCATGGCAACCCACTGCCACAGGGGCTGCAGCCTACGCTGTTGCCGGCGACTCACAGCAGCCCAGCTCCAGGTTGAGCTGTTGTTCAGCATCTTAGCTGTGGAGGGCAGTGTCATTGGCCCTCATATGTGGGATCCAAACCGGGGCCCTCTGGCATCCCAAGCCAGTTCTTAACCATCGCGCCACTCGGCCGGCCCTACTGTAATATTTTTTTAAAATGTAAACATTCACTATTTTGTGATCACACCTCATATACAGTATATATAGGGTTCAGTACTATCCACGGTTTCAAGCATCTACTGGGGGTCTTGGAATGTATCCTCCCGGGATGAGGGGGGACTACTATAATGCCTTAAACTGTTTGGTTCCCCTATTAAGCAGAAGTCTCTATTTATTTCAGGATTTGACCCCAAACTCTTCCTCGTTTTCCTCCTTGGACTTATGTTATTTTTTTGTGGAGACTTGCTAAGCAGGTAGGTTCCAAGGCTAGAGTGTGGAATGATGAGGCTTAGACTCACCCTGCTTGACTTTTATCATAAAAAGACGTGCTGCCATTCCCTTTTCCAGAAATTTTATAGCTAGGCCATTGCCTGCTTGGATGATTTTTAAAAATACTTTAATATGTGTTATGATTTCTTTTTCTTGTGTGGAATAATGTACAAAACTGACAATAATGAAACCCCCCCCATTGGGTTGACCCCTCTTGTGATAGGATTTATAGCCAATATATCATCCACTCTTTCTACCATTAGAAATAATGTATTAAGCGCTTATTTTTAATGGACTATATGTTGATAAGTTTTGTGCCTCCAGAGGTAAAGAAACAGACATGAACGAATTCATTTCATGCCTTTAGGAGCCTACTAGGTAAGCTAGGTGAAACTGACCTGTACAAATATAAAGAAAACATAGATAACTAAACAAACATTAAACAAAGGTAGAATCAACATTAACTTTGTATACAAGGAAAAAGAATATCTGTGGAGTAGTGAATGAAAGATTAACAACTGGAGTTTGAAGTTGGGCTGGAGTGGTAGTTGTTCCTTACTTTGGTGATCTTAAGAGAAACCCACAGTGAGGGAGGAATAACTGGACAGAGAGTCTGAAACAGGAGTAGGAGCTCTCTTTTCTAGGCCCTGTGTTTGGTTTATCCTGCTGGGTAATCAGTTCAGTTCTAGTTCCAGTCTCCATGAGGGCAGTATTCTTGTCCCTTTCTTCTCTCCAGAGAAGCTGTACAGTTCCTCAGAAGAAAGATTCTTATTAAAAATTGGGTTGGGAGGGATGCTGAGGATGGGAGTGGGAGACTAAGCAGAGGCTTATTATTGGGATATATTTGAGGGGACCTTATTGATATTGATCCTCATAATCTGGCAGCAACTGCATTATGCCAATCTCTTCAGTTTTCTGACCTCAAGTTTTGGGCAATCTAATCTTGTATCTTTTTTCCTATCTTTTGGCATAGTTTGAACAATGCCATGTATGAAGAATACACACACAGTCATGAAATACATTTTCTCTCTGCAGAAGCCAAATCTTCTACTATTCCACTGGGATAAGTGTGGGAATCGTGGCCTCTCTGCTAATCATCATTTTCATACTGTCCAAGTTTATGCCCAAGGTAAGTAGCAGAATACTCACTCATATGTAGTTAGGATGAGCTTGGCTAGTGAAGGACTGTTTCCTTGGATAATGTTACAGCACTGAAAATGTGCATTGACTGCTGATAAGCCAGTGTCCTTCTCTTTCTTTGATTCAGAAAGGTACTTTCCGTGATGAAACTTGGAGCCTGATTACATACAAACTCTCCCTTTTTATTTAAAATTCTATGCTTAGTGGGGGATGAAAGTCTTTTTCCTGTTTGCTAATAACATAGTCAGGCTTTTAAGTTATTCAGCATCTCATTTTCCCAGTGTTCTTTTCAGACTGTATTATTTTAAATACAATATAAAGGATGTCTTTTTAAAAGAGGTGATTTTTAGGAGGTTGAATTATTTTTTTTAAATCAGTTCCATTTTGTTTTTATGTGTGGAAAACCTGTTGTAACGTTTGTGCTTTCACTTCTACTTTATCTTAGAAAAGTCCCGTTTACATCATCCTGGTGGGAGGCTGGTCCTTTTCGCTGTACCTCATTCAATTAATATTTAAAAATTTACAAGAGATCTGGAGGTGTTACTGGCAGTATCTTTTAAGTAAGTGTTGTCGGTTTTGCTTTCCTTTTTATATGTCTATAGGCTGTTTTATTTATTTTGATCATGTTGCTTATAGGAGTTTAATGGCCCATGCCATTTTACTAACTTTTTTTTTTTTTTTTAAGATTTTTTATTGGGGAATTGGGGGGATGGGAACAGTGCTGGGGAGTTGGGGGAAGGGGAACAGACAAGCTGCTGTCGTTTTGTTCTTCAATCTAGTTGTGGAGGATGTTGCTTCACTGGCCCAAGTTGGCACCATCATTGCACTCTTCTCTGGCGAGGCAGATCAGTCGCCGGCTTCTGGACGGCCGCTCACTGCGGCTGCTGGCCGCTCACGCTGGCTGCTGGCCACACACGGTAGCCCATGGCAATCCACTGCCACAGGGACTGCAGCCCACGCCGTCGCCGGCGACTCATGGCAGCCCAACTCCAGGTTGAGCTGTTGTTCAGCATCTCAGCTGCGGAGGGCAGTGTCACTGGCCCTCATATGTGGGATCCGAACCGGGGCCCTCTGGCATCCCAAGCGAGTTCTTAACCATCGCGCCACTCGGCCGGCCCTTTACTAACTTTTAAGAGTCATAGTTCTTCACTTATTTCTAGTCCCTCTACAGTTGTCACCTTCTCTTAAATTAAAATGATATTGCTAGGGAGAAGACTTTCATTTGTTGGTGTTGATAAGTACATCTTTCTTTACCCAATAGGCATATTTTTGAAAAGCTGTAAATTTTTTTTATTAATATAATCGTATTTTAAATAACACTTGAAGACCTTAAGAAATAAAGAATTCTGCAGTGAGTCTTATCTATAAAGTAAGAATCCCTTGGTTGTGCAGATAGTAACTCTTAATCTACCCTTTGCGAGGTATTAATCTGAATTTTCATATATTGGGTTTTTTAAACAGACTATTCTAGAGTTGTTCAACATTTGAACCAGATAAATTTGAGACAACAGAAAGGATAGAAGATTAAAGAGACAAGTATATCTGAATAATGAAAAAAAAGTGAATTAACTGAGTAAAAATCTTGTCCATTTTCCTGGTCCAATAGGTGCTATGTAGTGAATTTACTGCTGCTCCACACACAAGTTATTTTTACAAGTTATTGGTGAAAAAGAATGTCTTCTGATAACTCTTGTCATAGGCTATGTACTTGCAGTTGGATTCATGAGTTTTGCAGTCTGTTACAAGTATGGGCCCTTGGAGAATGAACGAAGTATCAACCTGCTGACCTGGACCTTGCAGCTGATGGGCCTGGGTTTCATGTATTCTGGTATCCAGATACCACACATTGCCCTTGCCCTGATCACCATTGCCCTGTGTACTAAGAACCTGGAGTACCCTATTCGGTGGCTGTACATCACCTACAGGTGACTGAAAGGCAATGTAACTATTGAAATGTGCAATGTGAGATGCAGTTGCAGCAAAAGGATATAGAGGTGTTGACCTGGGAGCCTCTCTGTTAATGAAAATTTATTGTATCTGGTTTTGTTCCTTCCCGAATCTCTTTTTTCAGACTCTGTGTAGACATGTTTATAATTTTATTCCAGTCATTTTATATAAAAATATCCAGGAAAGTGTCATGTGTTCCTGTTACCACTAGGTGGTGCAAAGTATATTCCTTTTCTATCACATGCCTCAGGTCACCTGGTTTCAGATTATTTCACATTTGCTCCCAGATTGCTCCGGGAGTGCTAGTCTTAATTGAAGATGTAAATCATAGCATGTTATCACCTTGCATAGTGAATATGGAATGGTTACAGGTTCTGAGGTTGTCCATGGTTGTTCTGTTACAGATAGTCAAGAGGATTCCTTCAGTTTGGGGATCCAAGTTAATGGACCACAATCTTATACCATCATTTTCTTGTCATTTTTCCAGGAACTGGAAAATAAATATTTTATCTATCATTTATTGGAAAATAAGTGAATTTATTCACATTAGTGAATAATATTGACTACTCTGACTTGTCACTCATAGCCTAACCTGTCAAAAGTACATTATAACTAAAGATATCTGTAGAAGAACGGTGGGAGTGATGACTCTTAAAGTTCAGGCTGTCTGCTATGTGCTTGGCCCACTGAAGGGAGCTAGAGGTAAGGGTGGACATAGATTACTGATTAATGATTCATGATGTTATTTTGGTGAGTACAGAAAGATGTGTAAGGCAACAGAAAAGACTGTACCCCCTCGTCTCCTGACAGAAGAAGAATATCGGATACAAGGAGAGGTGGAGACCCGAAAGGCTTTAGAGGAGCTTCGAGAATATTGTAACAGTCCAGACTGCTCTGCTTGGAAGACTGTTTCACGAATCCATTCTCCAAAGAGGTAAACTCTTGGCCAGATATGCCAAGCATCTCTTAGGGTAATTGTGACATTGAGTTTTAACAGAGATGATACTTCTAGATAATCATTTGTACTTGTGGCTTTTTTTTCCTGTTCATCTAGGAGTAGTTAAGAGAAAAGTATGTGTATCATCTTATGTTAAGCAGTATCCTGTTTTCTGGTTCCTTAAGGAACTGTCTACTCTAGCTTTGATTGTAGCATTGCGATGAGAAGACTCCAGTACCATATTGTTTCCTCTCTGAGTTTTACATTGCTCTCTGAGTGTTTGTTTGTTTGTTTGTTTTATTCCCCTTTTTTGTGGGAGATAGGGGTGGGGTTTTCTTTCTCTTTTTATTTGGGAGCAACTATACCAATGAATATGTGAAGTTTCAATTTGGAATCCTGATGGCATAAACTTTATAGGACCATAAATGAATGTGTGATGACCCTTAGTCTTCTCTTATCAGGATTATGGATGACTAAAGGAACCTTAGCACTTCCATAACTAAAATGGATAGGCTAGTGCTTATCAAGCAGGATGGGGTTGCAGGGGATGTTGGCCTATGATCCCAGCTTTCCTTTTCTCCTTATGTCTTGCTTTAGTCTATTTAACTGCCAGAGTAAGGTCAGGGATGTTAGCTAGATACAATATAATTTGACCTGTGAGCATATCGAAGGTTTCGATTTATTCTTATTTTGAAAGAAAACCAGAAAGAACAGAAAATTCCTAATGAGTATTATCTTCTCTTTTCTAGATTTGCTGACTTTGTGGAAGGTTCTTTTCACCTCACACCAAATGAGGTTTCTGTCCATGAGCAGGAATATGGATTAGGGAGCATTATTGCCCAGGATGAAAGCTATGAAGAAACATCCTCTGAGGACTCAGATTCTCGCTACCCTGCTATCACACACAACAACTTCCTGACTTAGGTGGTGGTCAGTTATTTTTATGTGGACTGGCTTGGTACCTTGATGGCCCATGTTGCATGTGTTGTGCAATTGCTTCTCAACTCTTCGAAACAGAGTGAGATAGTGCAGAAATTCTCCCAATGAAATTAAAGGCCTGAATAGGTCCCCCTCTGGAAATGACTGTGGTGTTCTCTTTGGGATCCCTGAGGAATGAGAATGGATAAAGTAGTGAATGCTTCCCATTGGTTAAGCTGTCAGCTCACATTTATGTTTCCAGAAAAACTAGATGAGCACAGCTAGCACAGCATTCTAGTTCCTCTTTAAAAGTTGATTCAGCAGTGGCATTTCTGCCACCGTGGCTGGCACTCAGAAGTGAAAACTGTCATACGTGCAATAATGCTTTCAGACTATAGGTTGCATCTTCCAGAGAGAAATCCACAAACCTGAGCCTCTTTCACTTCTGCTTTTATTTCAGTGACTTTAGAATAATCCTTGTTTTAAGAGGAAAATAGGTTTTATTTGTTTGTCTTATGTTTTAAATGAATGTATGTTTTAAAATGTAAGAAACTCGTGTTCTAGAACCAGCAAGTACTCCAGAGTGCAAGCCCCATAGGCCCCTACATATTTATTAATATGGATTATCCATTAAAACCCCAGACGCTGTTGTGTTGAGCTTTGAATTAGTTCTCACACATATGATAGTCTGAGTCCTGCGTGCTTTTAGGAACATGCCTGTAGGATCTTCTGTAGGGAAGGTCTATTGGGCTTTTTATTATATTCAACTTTTAATTCCATCTTAAAAATATATTTGCATTCTTCCCTTCCCATTCCTTCTTTCCCGTTTGCCCTTTCACATAGGGTCTGTTCTCTTACTTGTGAAGTATGTATGATTCAGAGTTTGTTTCATTTCTTATTTTATCTTCCCCTTGGTTTTTAGTGTTATTCCTGCTGTTTAGGAGAAGTGATCTTATCTAGGAAGTTTAAATGCTTTTTACACGTCCTCCATTTTTCTTGTCAGTGGGTCACATATCTTTGAGTTTCTGTGGAATCCAGAAACGATCTTTATTTTTCCTTCCCTTCCTTTGCCTACCCATTCTCCCTATTCCTTTCAGCCTTGCCTTACCACCTGTGCCCTTCTCCCGTGAAACCTGGCTAATTTGTAAGCCCTGAAACTATGAAGTTTCTTCATACAACATACAAGTTGTAGCTATGTAGCAGCCACAGTTTGTATTGCCAGGAAATAGACTTCCAGGTAATCTTCATGCCTTTGGATTCAGCCATCGGGATCAGACACATTTTTCCATGAATTTATTTTACTTATTTGCAATTCCATTTCTGATCAGAGATTTCTGCTGCCTTTTATTACAGTGGCATTGGTTCAGATTCTTTTGCCATTGGAAACTACCCTTATAAACCATCAATGCCATTTATGAGGGAGCAAATTCCCCAGTCTCTGTCATTAGCATGGTTCTGTCTTTGTGATCTTCACCCTTATACCTTGTAGAAAGCTATAATTACTCCAACCCGGAAGATAGACACTGATGGCAAGAGCATAACATTAGACTGACTGGCTTACCATGATTATAGGGAAGGCAGATGATTTTTTAAAAAGTCTTAATTCTTTCAGACCAGCCATTTAGCAGGTAATTTTGAAAGGCCCTGGGCTCCATTACTGACTTCCAAATGTCAGCTTTGAGACTTCCCTCTAGGTGGGCAGTTGATTATTTCCAGCAGTGTTTCCCACAGTTTTAAACTCTCCTGAAGTGACAACTATTTCAACTGGCAGCAAGTAGACATATAGGAGAAAGTGAAAAATAAGCAGTATTTGGGCAGGTGCTGTGGGTCAAAGTTGCAGGGTAAAGGAGCTTTATACTGGGAAACCTTTATGCCTTTGTGAATTATGTACATGGTAAATTTTTATCCCTCTACAAAGAACTGTTAAGACCTCTGGAATATACTATTTTTGTCCTCATTTATAGAAATTGAGACCTAGGGTATTTGAGCATAAGTTGATTTGAAAAAAATGATTCAGCTGTACAAGTGGTCTCAGAGTCCCTCGAGACTTTGGTGCCTTCTCCCAAATAGCTACTTAGGGAGGTGGTAGCTTGCCTCCAGGGTAACTTTGTCCTTATGTCCTGACCTATGTCCTTATTTCAGTGAGACAGCATTGTGAGGTAGGGAAAGCTTCTCCTCTTTTTCTATTTAGTGAACTTGTGAAATACAGTTTCCATCTTAAGACCAGTTTTTTTTTCACTGTGTTTGAATTTGGGGTGAGTAAAATCAAACTCAGTTTATTTCTTCCTGTCTGGTAGCTGGAGACTGAGCTGTAGGCAGTGGAGATCACAATGGGTCCTGCAGCTGAGAGCTGCTCTCAGACAGTGAAGGACAGTGCCACTGCTGTGCTGTGTGTCCTCGCCCTGCCTGCCTGTGCGGCTCTGCCCCAGATGCTTCAGAGCCCCCGTGTGCCCAAAGATTGCTTGACTTCTTAAACCTTCTTTAGAAACTGCTCTTGTCTCCCTCTTGGCCACTTAGTCTGCTGACTCAGTCACTACTTGAAGCCCCCATTTAATTTTCTCTGGCAGTTACAGCTCTTGCAATTTCAGCATAGTCTCATCTCTCAGACTGATCTCATCAAGAAGGATTGAAGGGATAACTATGGAGTTAGCTGGACGTTGGAGCCATGTTTGCTGCCATGTCAGCATCTTGCTCTGCAAATATCAAGCTGTAAATTGGCCCTAGGGCTCAGGGACTCGGCGGCATCGGAAATCTATTGCCTCTAATCGGTCTGACCAAGTTGTGTAGAGCATGTCTCCCATTAATGGGAATACAAGAGCCAACTGGCCTAAAACACTTCCCCTTCACTTTCCCACTCAGATTGCTTTCATGAGACCAATAAACAAAAATAAGGAAAATTGAATAACTTTGATACCTTCTAACAAGAAATTCCTGTCAGCCACTTCCTGTCACCAAAACTAGTTTATTTCTCCCCCCAAATTCATGACTTTTATGTCTGGTACAAAGGAGACTTTGCAGGTAATAGTTCCATTATAGTTCCAATGTTCCATTTTGTGCTAATATACCCCAGTGTAGGTCCTAGCCCTGTCTTCATTGACTACGTTCCCTTCAACTCAATCTCCGCTTGACACATGCAATAGAGATTTGATGAATGAAAGGACCCAAATAGGCCAGATGGTCCCCCAAAGCCCCGATATCCATAAAAGGCTTGGGAATGGATTATGCAATTGCCCTCAATCTTTTTGTTGTTCCAGAAAAAAAGATGGGCTCAGATGGATGCCTGCGTAAAAATGGTTCCTAGCTGTGCACTCATAACTTTTCTCTGAATTGAGTAGTGAAAGTTGAAGTAGGAGGAAAGGAAATTAAATGTCCTTTTAATATTCCTTTGGACTCAGGTCTGACATGAGATAATAACCTATATTGAAATGCCAAGAATTTTATCTGAACCAAAGAGAGGACAGTTTGACAGATTTATTATGCCTTCAACTTACATAGGCATTGAAACCAAGTAATAAACATAAAAATAGCCATTGCACAAGGCATAACCTTTTGCTTTTTTGATATAGCAGAAATAATTTTTTAAGGGAAACCTATGCAATTGTGATCTGGTCGTGTCTCTTGCTACTTAGCTTATGGAGTCAGTTGCTGTTGAGTTGGATTCTAGATGGTTACTATCTTGAAAAGGGTCTTCGGTGCATGTGGTGGGAACTAGAGCCTGCTGGGAATAAACAACACAGATTCACGGGAACATCAACACAGAGCTTTAGTGGGGATGCGAATGGCACAGACAGATGAGAGGCTTCTCAAAATGTGGGGCTTTGGGCTCCTATACCCCAACTCAGGTGTCATCTTCCCCTTCACAATCTTGACAATAACTTGAAAATGGTGAAATCACTTTCTCCCAACTTTACTAGAGCATGAGTGAGTATTAGAACTGTTACAGCCTGCAATTGCCTCAGTTTCCCATGTTTCTAGAGTTGCTGGTGAAACAGCAGGGGTTAGGAATTACTGGGTAAGTTTCAGCCTGTGGGTAATGCCTTAGTGTTATTTAAAAAGATTTGTCATTTATATTTAAAATAAATGTGCATGGATGTTTGAAAGGAGCAAAACAATCAGGGATGACTCTTTGCCATGAGTCTTATTTTCACTCTTTTCTGTAAGAAAAAAATAACAATGTTATATATATATATTTTTTCACTTTTTATTGTACAAGTTTGTAAGTAATCCCAATTTTAATAAAGTTTTATAGTGGTTTCTCTTAATGAACATGTATTTTTCTTGTTTGAATTTCTTGTTCTCAGATAATCAGCAATTAGCTCCTCAGTTTCATCTTTCTAATGAGATGGTTTCACATGCCATCTATTTTCCTTTTTTTCGTAAGCGCTGCTGCCCATCCTGGGTCTGTCTTGCTCTACTTCCATCCCTGGACTTGATGATTTCCCAGGATGCCAGATCTCTAGGGGTATTCTTGCAGGAGTAGCAGGTTGTATCACTGTTCTGTCTCATAGAAAAAACAACGTATAGGCTATTCCTGCTCCAGCGAGCTACTCTGTACTTTAGTTCTTTAATATTTTTTTAATGGCATAAAGTATTTGTTTTATATCTCCACAGGGGTGAGGGGAAGACCCGTGGATCCAGCTGTGAAATGCCTGCTAAAGAACTTTTTGTAGGATGGGAGAGGGACCAGGGCTGTAATGAGCATTAGGGGCCATGGAATAAAAACTTCAAGTATGTCTAGGCCCAACTTCTGTAGTTGGCATCTGGAACTTTTATCTTTTATGTTTTGGCTGTTTTCTTTGCTCTGAGAATCTATTATAGCATATGCATTAGTTCTGTACCTGTCTTTTTTTAGTTATTTAGACTGCATGGAAATCCATTGTCCCATTTTTCAACGATGGTGAAATAGGAAGAAAACAGGATGTGATCAATGTAAATTTATGTAGATTAATGCACACTAATGACATCTTTTTTCCTCTCCTGTCTATAACTATACTAGGTAAATAAAAGACACAGATGGTCACTAATGGCTGAATTAGTAAAAACTTAAAGCATGATTGCCAGGTGTGCTTTTTTCCTCCCCAAACATCACAGGGTTTTAGTGAGGATAAAAAAAGGCTTTTAAAGCAGTTCTTCTCAAACTTTAACATTTATAGGAAACATTCGGGGAGCTTGTTAAAATGCAGATTTCTGAGTCAGTAAGTCGGGGTTGGGGCCCAAGATTCTTCATGTCTAATAAGCTCCCAGGTGATGCAGATACTGCTGGTCTGTGGACCTCACCTTGAATAGCAAGAATGTAAAGCACTTAGTTGTTGCCTGGCACATAGTAAGTACTTGATCCATGTTGTTACTAATTGACACCAGATAATTTGTGAGAGTCAGGAAAAGCCTATACCACCAAATCCTCCCAACTCTGTCAGAAATCACTAAAGGATTTAGAATTGTTTTTTCTCTTTCTTTCTTTCTTTCTTTCTTTCTTTCTTTCTTTCTTTCTTTCTTTCTTTCTTTCTTTCTTTCATTATTTTTTTGCCAGCTTTATTGAAGTATAATTTATATACAATAAAATTTACCAGTTTTACATTTTGCTAAGTTTTGACAAATGGAGACAGTTGTGTAACCACCATCACAATGATGGTATAGGGCATTTCCATCACCCCAAAAAGTTCTCTCGTGCCCCTACATGGACTAGAAATTTTGATAGGGGGAAAGAGGAAGGGGATGGCAGAGTCAGTGGAAGCAGATCATAATCCTGTGCCCCACCTCCTATGCCTCCTCTCCACCTCAGGAATGCTTTGACAGGGCTTGAAATCCCAGCTGAGTTGGCTGTGTATTTCATACCTTGTTAATTTAGAGTGACCCACTCGTTCCAGTTTGTCCAGAACTTTCCTAGTTTTAGCACTCAAATTCCCGTGCCCAGAGAACTCATCTCAGGTCCCAGTCACACCAGGACTGTTGGTCACCCTAGCTGTGATGTGTATGCCACTGTTTCTAAGCCTGAGGTTGCCATCTCATTTTAGAGTCACTTCTCTTGTGGGCACATAGTAGGCACTCAATAAATGAGTGAATGAGTGGACACAGATAAACTCAGTTGTAGGCGGCTGTAGATTCCTGGCCTGGGAAACAGGAGACCTGGGTTCTGGCCCCAGCTCTGTCAGGTTTGCAGTGGTATGTCCTGGGAAAGGGGTTTCTCACTCTGGGTCTGTAAAACAAGGAATCTGTTGTCGTTTCTGCCTCCCACAACTGGTACTGCCCTACCTATATATGGGATTATGTCCTGATGTCACTTCCACTCAGCTTTTTCTCTTTTCTTTGCCTTTCCCCCCTTCAAATATATATATAGTAGATCAATAAATTATGTAAGGACAGGTTGATAATGGAACTGCTGATGGGCCAGGCTTATGCAGAGTGCTTTTGCAAAACAATAGAGCTTGGACCTTGAACTAAGCAGCTGTGATTGGGAGTTGGAGAATTGTGCCTGTATCTTCAGCTAAGTGTCTGTAATTACCTGATTTTCTGTTTGTGCATGCCTGGAAGGGAGGACGGTGGGCAGAGGGAGCCTACTGTTTAGGAATCTTCCTGGGTGGATGAAGGGGTATCCTGGAAAATAGGATTTTATAAGCTTCTTATCTATCAGAAGCAGATATTTCCAACTGGGCTAGTGTCCAGCAAAGAGGATCTCAGGGTCTTACTCAGTATCCTAGCACAGAATAAGGATTAAAATTAGAAATATCAGGACTTGGGCTTGAACCAGTGGCCGACAGGGTCTGCATTCTGTTCCTGGCTCTGCCATGTACTGTCTGTGGAACTAGGTAACCTTTCTGAGTCTTAGTGTTTGCCTCTAATTTTCCTTTATAATGGAGTATCTGCGTTGCCTACCTCACTGGGTCAGGGTGGTGTGATTCAATGCGACGATACAGGTAGGAATTCAGTGAAACTGATGTGTATACAAATGTCAAGTGTTATTACTAACTTTAATCTTCAGATTTGTATGATGGGGTCTGATTCATGGCAGAAAGGAAGTGGAGAAGAATTTGGGGATTTTGCTTAGTTCCTCAAATAATGTCATTGACACCCCCAACTCTCAATTAGATAGGCAGTGTAGATTTGAGGGAGATACTGATTCTTTTTTAGAAAGACACCCAAGCCTACCTCCTCCTTGACAAAATTTATGACTTTTGGGAAAAGCTTGTCCTTGGTTTTTATTCTACTTTTTCTGCTCTTATTTCCAAATTTTGGGGGCCATAGAGCAAGAACTCGACTTGAGCAGTTCAACTAAGGCCAGCCAGACACCCTTTCCTACCTAAAGGGCACTTTCTCCTGGGACTCAGTGTCTGCCTCTGGGGCTTCAGGCCTGTGAGGGGTTAAGCGAGCCACACCCTCAGCAGGATCAGACTTGGACTTTGTGCTGAGCAGCCATCTCTGGCCTCTCCTGGCTTGACTGACTCAGGGAGCCCTGAGCTGGAGGAGGCAGCACAGAGGAAGGTCAGAGGACTGGACACTAGCAAGACGAAGACAGCCTCATTCCTCGCCTCCCTGACACCATGGACAGCTCCTGTTAGCAGAGGCACCTCTCCACCTTGGGGGTCTGGGCATCCTATGCTCCCTTCCTGTCAAATTGGGATTTCATCCACCATTCTCCAAGGGACAGTGAAGTTACACCCTGGTTGCAGTGTTGGGTGAGTCTTGCTTTGACCTGTCAATGCTCATTTTACATCTTGGAGTACCCATCTGGGAGCGACTTCCTTTTCTCCTTTCCTACCTCCAACCAATCACATTCCCACTTCCCTCAAATCCAAACCCAAAGAAGATGCCTTCTCCCAGCCCTGCTTCTGTTTCTTACCCTTCCCTGCCAAATTACTTAACTTTCTTTTTAAACCTGGAAAATGGATAATTATAGTATCTAGCTCATGGGGCTATTGTCAGCATCAAGTGAATGAATATATGTGAAGTGTTTAGAGTCCTACCTGGCCCATGGAAATTGCTATATGATTGCTATTATAATTATTCTTATTTCTCCCTCTGTGGTGTCACTCAAGAAAGGGCCAAGTGCTTTCTTTTCCTGGAGCTTGGGGAAAGGAGAGTGAAGGGAGAAGGCAGCCTGTGTCCCCTTCTTGCCCCACCTTCCATCCCGGCTCCCTTCCCCTCCTCCACACTGGTTCAGCAATGCAGGAGAAGAGCAGGATATGGCTCTGTATTCTCGGTAGGGAGTGGCATTGACCATTGCACTAACAATTCTGTCCTGCACTCGGCCACTCTGCCTACTCAGTCCCACAGTAAAGACTGAGGAGGGCTGGGTTTCCTCCTTAGGAAACACCTGCCTCCTGCTTGGGGTTGAGCCCCACAGTGCTCCCTGCTCCTGCAACTCTGCTCTTCCTTGCCCATTCCCAACAACTACTAAAAAGCTGGGTGTGTTCCTCGGGGGCAAAGTTCGTGCCAGGTTATAGGAATGGGTGTAAAAGCTGGAAATGGAAAAATAGGGGCGGAGGTGCCGGCACGTCCAGAGGTCCTGACGGTCGCTTGTTTGTTGGGGGAAACAAATCTCACTTTCATTTTCTTTGGGGTATTCCAACCTTTTATGGAGGAACTCCTGCCTCTGTGGTCAAACTCATCACCTTGTCCGGTCCCCATTTAAGAAATGAATCTCACTGTGGCAATGAGAAGGGAGGAGAGACCTTTAGGAGAACTTTTGAAATGGACGTGGGTGGGTTGGGTGGCAGAAATAGGAGTCGTGGGAGGTAGGGAGTCGAAAAGGCGAACCCGGGATAAATGCAGGGGGTCTGGACCCTGGCCAGGGCCTCAGCACAGGAGGGGGAGAGCTTCCGATGCCTGGCGATGGCGCGAAGTTTGCTTCCCCTGGCGTCCCCAAGCCTCTCGCTTGCAAGCACAACTGTGTTCCCCCAGTCGTTACCTACTGCATGCCTTCCTTACCCTGGTAATCAGGGGCGATGGTCCTGTTGTACCCCTGCCTCGCCCCTGCCAACCCTGACTCTGGGAGCAGAGGATTCCCCCACCTCCTGCTGAGTTTTCTGCAACTTTCTACAGTTAGCTTGGGCTAGTCCAGAGGCCTGTCCTAGGCTGGGGGCTCCCTCTAGGGCCAGGACCGGGGGGAAAGAAGGCTCTCTTAGGTCCTTCTGCCTTCCTCCCTTCAGTTATTGGTCTCTAAAGCTGAGCAGACATCCAAATGCCTCCTTTACCCCCAGGATCAGTAGCCTCTCTGGACATGACTCTCCTGGAAGGTTCCGTGGGGGT